CTGTTGTTATAGAGTTTCTTCCACCTTCTTCCTCTGAAGTACCTGGAACTGGCCATTGTTTGAGACAGGATGCCAGACTAGATGGTCTGGTCCAGTATTGCAGTTCATAAGACGGAAGAATAGATCTCAGGACCTCCTGGATCCCAGACCAGTGCATGGCCTCCTGGACTAGGAGATAGTGTGGGGAAGAACTCAGAAGCCACTCTTGCCCTCCTTTCACTAGAACCTAGATGGTCCTGAACCTTTTGGAAATTAGTCGTTCCAGGTTCTGGGTGATTCCAGGGACTATAGTTTGAAATTACATGTGCGCAATGCAACCACCTATCTTCTGCTCTGAAAGAGGTATTAATTGTATTTCAGATACAAAGTATACATTTTCAAATCCTCATAACTTGGTCAATTTGCAACCAGTTCTCACAGGAACACTTAACCTCTCTTTTAGGGAGGGCTATTTGCATATCAATTATCAGCCCTTGATCCCCAGCATCTCAGCACTAAGGCACACAGAAAGATAAGAGTGCGTATGTGTACACAGCACATTTTTACCTCAGTCTCCTCTCATTCAAATGATTGAATGTTATTTGCTCAAACTTATATACTCAATCACCATGCGTGGTAGAGACCAAGCCTAGAAAATTTCAGCCCATAAAGTGAAAGTTTCAGAAAGTTACAAGCAATCAAAACAGGAGGCTAGGATGGAAACTGTTATACAACCTTAACTACAGCAGGTCACAACCATCAGCTGCTAGAATACTTACTGAGAAAAAATAGCAGAGTTAAGGTTGCTGCCACCCAGTGGAGCCTTCTGCTCTTAATATCTTTCCCCAAGAGACGCACTGTTAAGGGGCTGCTTCACACACAAGACAACCACATCTCCCTCCAGCTCCTAGATGCACCATTCATTCTTTTGGGAGCCGAGCATATTTACTTAAACTACACAGAAATCATTGTAAGAAATCCCCTAATGCATGGTTAGTCTTTAACAGCGACTGTGCCACTGGAAACAGTAGGAGAGGTAACTTGTTGTGTGCAGTGTGATCTGTCAGCCAGCAGCAATCGCTCCCCATATCAAGTAAGGAGTTCTTATTTATTATTTGTATTGCAGTAGCAGATACACAAACAAGGGAACCCAGGCAGATACATCATATCTTGCCATAGCACTCTTACTGAAGGCATACCAGAATGGACGGAAATCATCTTGACCACTTACCACATAAAAGACCAGCTTCCTCCAAAACACAAATGACTTCCTCCACAACTCCACAACATTAACAGCCTCCCTCAGAACACCATCCTCACCACCATGGATGCCACTTCCCTAAACACCAACATCCCTCAAAATGACAGCATCGCTGCCTGCCTCAAATATTTACAAGACAATGGACATCCCTCAGATACCACTCCAGATACATGGCTGAACTCATCCATTTCAGCCTAACCCATAACAATTTTACATTCAACAAACACTTTGTCCAAACCAGGGGAACAGCCATGGGTACTAGGATGGCTCCCCAATATATCAACCTCTTCTTGGGTTCTTCTTGAAGAATTTCTGGACAAATGCACCATGAAACCAATGATATACCTGAGACACATTGGTGATATTTTCATCCTCTGGACAGATGGCTTAAACTCGCTCATAGATTTCCATCACAATTCCAACAATCACCATCAGTCAGTTAAACTCTAGAACACTCCCACACCAGCATCAACTTCCTGGACACCCCACCAGCTTCAACAATGGAACCCTACAGACAATTATATACAAGAAACCCACAGATCACCACACTTACCTTCATAGATCCCCAAATACACCAAGAAATCTTATCTACAGCCAGTTGCTAAGATACCACAGAATGTGCTCCAAGGAGAAAGTCTGGGATATACACCTTAACACACTTGAAAACACCTTCATCAAACAAGGATGTTCCACCAGAGAAGTAGATTGCATCATGGAACGGGCCACCCAAACACCCTGAGAGAACCTGCTTCTGTACAGAAATAAAACCCCTTCCAACCACACACCCCTAGTTGTCACCTACCACCCCACACTGGAACCTATACAGGATATTATCAAACAACAACAACCAATACTTGATGGTCACCCCATCCTGAAAGGAAGAATCCTGAATTCACACTTCTGGCCTTCAAACAACCCCAACCCTCCAAGCTCATCATCAGAAGCAAGCTCCCCACAGACCAGAACATACTAACTCAAAGCAGCACTGGACGCTTCCAGAACAACAGCTGCAAAACCTGCAGACATATCTCCACTGCTACAATGATTAACGCTCTCACAACATTGCTACAATGATCAACACTCTCACAACACACCTTTCAAGATCCGTGGGCCCTGCACATGCCTATCACAACATGTGGGGTACCCCATCCAGTGCACTCAATGCCCCACAAACAACTGTGTGTGTGAAACCAGACACTCACTGTACACTCCATGAACTCACACAGGAAACTGATCAAAGACAAAACACCCTGTCACCTGTGGGTGAACACCTTTCACAAAGCAATCACTCTATGCCTGACCTATGAGCACTCATCCTCAAAGGAAACCTGCAAATCGCTTTCAAATGATGAGCCTAGGAGCTTACATTCATAACTCTGCTAGACCAGGGTG